CGGGGGCTGTTGTGGCCAAAGTGCAGAACCCAAAATGCATCTCTTTCCTGGTGGCAGAGAAATCCTGCCTATGGATGAGCACCACCAGTTCCCTCTAGCACGGATTGAAGTGGAGCTGTCAGAAGGGAAGCCCAACACTCCCTAGGATCCACCACTTGAGCAGATAACCATCTTAACCTGCCTCTTATAGGAACAAGGCTGTGTTGTTCAAGGACTATTCCTGAGCCCAGCCACTGCCAAGCCTCATGGAGCTGCTAAATTCAACTAGATCTGATGGAGGACTGGGACCATGAGTGGGCAGGTAGAGGGAGAGATCTCCAAGTCCTCTCACTGTACTCTGGCTCTGAGCTGCAGCCACAGAAAGCCAGGCTCTAACTCCACCACCAGTGAAGATACAGCTTCAGAAGAGCTGCACAGTAGGTCCAGGCAGATCATCACCACTGTCTGACGTTACCACCCCTGCAAAGCTATCAACAGGAGCGCCTCCAGAACGTGCCCTGAAATCTCTTTCTTCTACAAAAGCTGCTGCTCCTTCCAGCACTGGCAGAGGACAGTGACAAAGCTCTTTAGAACACACGTGGTACCTTGAGCAAGTTTGTCATGGCTGGCACGCTGTGGAGGCAGGGTGCCACCAGCTGCTTCTAGGATAAGCACAACAGCAACTGGAAGAAGGATCCTAATCCCAAAAGGGACCACAAAAACCGGTGAGAATGCTCTTTTAAGAAAACTTTTTACCATGGTAGTGGTTTGTCCTTGGTAAACCATTAAATCCTCCTATGGATTGTGCTCAGCAATAAGCTGGGTCAAGTCTCTCCATGGAGAAGACTTAGATCAAGTATTTCTTTGTATCTGTTGGACAACTAAACTCTCAGATAGGCTGAACAAGCAGAGCCCTGGAAGGCCACCATGGCTCACAAAACACAGCAGGGATTTTTCTTTTTAGTTTTAAGAGACCTTCAGGAACTTCTCCCTTCTTTCAAATCCCCCAAAGTGGCATTGGTCTAACTAGAACTACAGAATGGTTTGGGTTGGAAAGGACCTTAAAGATCATCCAGTTCCAACCTCCCTGCTGTGGACAGTGTTGCCAACCACAAGATCAGGCTGCCCAGGGTCCCATCCAACCTGGACTTGAATGCCTCCACAGATGGGGCATCCCACAGCTTCTCTGGGCAACCTGGGACAGTGTCTCAACACCCTCTGGGTAGAAAATTTCCTTCCAATACCCAATCTAAATCTCCCCCCTCTCAGTTTAAAACCATTTCCCCTTGTCCTGTCACTATCTGCCCATGTCAAAAGTCTCTCTCCCTCCTGCTTCTAAGCTGCCTTCAAGTACTGGAAGGCTGCAATGAGGTCTCCCTGGAGCCTTCTCCTCTCCAAGCTCAACAAGCCCAGCTCCCTCAACCTTTCTTCAGCAGAGAGGTGCTCCAGCCCTCTAGAGTTGAATGTGTGTGGGAAGCCTAACCATGGTGCTAAGGACTTGATACTTCATTATGGAAGGAGAGGGAATTTAACAACAAGGTTCTCATGAATTTATTGGCAGCTATTCTGGGACTCTTCCACCTTAATTGCTTCTGGAATTATCTGACCCATTTCCTCTGCCAGCGCAGGATCACTCTGGTCTAAAGGGGTGACGTTCCAAACAACACAACTGTGCTCAGAGGCACCAGGGAATGTTATTTCCCCCTTTTCATTTCATGTTCAGAAATGGGCCACCCTCTTATTTAGAGAATGGTTTGGGTTGGAAGGGACCTGAAAGTTCACCCAACCCCCCTGCCATCAGCAGGGACACCTTCCACTAGACCACGTTGCTCAAAGCCTCATCCAACCTGGCCTTCAACACCTCCAGGGAGGAGCAGCCACAACTTCTCGGGGCCAACCTGGGACACTGTCTCACCACCCTCACAGCAAAGAATTTCTTCCTCAGATCTCATCTCAATCTCCTCTCTTCCAGTTTAAAGCCATCACCCCTCATCCTATCCTCCCAGGATACAAAAGCATCCTCTTCCTCCGTTAGCAACAGCACCTGTGTCATGGCCAAGTTGATCTCTCACAACAAAACCATGTGAAGTGTACACCAGGCAACTACTACATGAGGGCTTCAGACATTCGGATGAAGACTAAAGTTCAACAAGTTGCTATAGCAATTTCCCACCCAGAATTCACCGAGTCTGGTATTTCCTTACAAATTGTGCTTGTGAGGAAGGTGAAGTAGCTTGTCTCTCTAGCAACTGCTTCCAAGCTTCAATTTCGATAGGTAAAAATCAGTTTTTGATGGAAGAACGTGAAGGATTTGACGTGCATGTTCCCCTGAATACGCTTCCTCAAAGCAGAATGGGTACATCTGAATCATAGAATGGTTTGGATTGGAAGGGACCTTAAAGCTCATCCAGTTCCAACCCCCCTGCCATCAGCAGGGACACCTTCCCCTAGACCAGGTTGCTCAAAGCCTCATCCATTTTCAAAATGCAGCCAACCTAGACTAGATACTCAGCTGTATTCCTTTTAACAATCTCAGCTTTCCCTAAATGCTATTTTAACAGGTCTTCAGCTACCAACTGATCTTTTTATATCCCTAAAAAGGAAAGTTATAGCCAGAAATGACCTAATGGGAAACCCAAAACAGTCTGTAGATCATTAGATGCACTACCACCTCCCTAGCCTGCAATGAAATGACACTGCTGTGACAAACAGGAACAGTTTCTGGTGCCATCTTCTCTAGAAATGGGATCATAACCTTGTGCACAAAGAATACCAACTCAAATGCATGTACAAAACGTGGATGGGGTAACTGGAACGAGGTTTCACTTTAGATCCAATCACTTCTCTCTTTCAATGCTGAATCACGGCACAGTGCTGTTGTGCAGTTGCCAGACAATGCCAAGCAATGGATTGAGTAATCCTTTGTGAGGTTTATGGAGTATTTTCACCTCTCTGGCATAAAAACAGGTTATGAAAGTGTGTTCACATGAAAAATCTTATTTTTCACGTGATCTTGGCTCAGAGAGGGATTTAAAACTTCAGTTAAAAAAAACCAACCACAACACCCAAAAGTTGGCGTAAGATTATCTGTCCCCAGCAAGCTGTGTTATGTTAACACACCAAATACAGATGTTCACGTGGTCAGTTTTCAGGGAAATGCCAAACTCACCGTAGAGAGCTGTCCAAGTTTGATTGATTACATCTAGACATACAGTTCCTGACCTGAAACACATGGAAAGGATGGAATTAAACACAGTCACACTCAAAAATACTCTGGGGGTTTAATATAATCTAGCCCTTCCCTTCCCTTGCCCTGCCTGTGCCCCAGCATTTCAGATAAGCTATGAATTACCCCTCTCTTGCAGTTAATAGAGGGGCAGCCTTTAATTACATGAATCTTCATACTCTGCACAAAAGAAAGTGAATTGGAACCATTACTGAATCAGTTGGTCTGTGTGGGGCTCTGCTGGAGAGACTTGAGGCAGAGGTGGCTCCTCTTAACAACCTTAACTGAAAAAAAGTGTCAAAACATCTTATTTTTTGAAGAATTTTAGTACAGACATGAACTCCAGCTGAAGAGGGAGCTACGTCTTAGCCATCACTGTTGTTTCTAGAAAGCTGGTGTGATGCCAACAGGAGGGGGACCAGCAACCTTGAATTTTCTGTAAATGAAGCACGTTGCAAATTAAGAAGACATCTGCAAGAGTCTGTAGCATGCAGCTCTCTAATCTTGCCCACAGCTTGACCCACTCCCAAAAGTTAACTTGTGACAACATCTACCTCTATCAAATTTCCCACTCTGGATGTTTAGATTGATGAAAGCATGATTCAATTCATCAGTGAATTACTGTGAAGCCAAAACACTGTTAGAATTCGACAGACTCCTTAGAAAAACCCCACACTAGGGATTTACTTACGCTTCGTCAATGTTGGGATGGAAAATTTTATTCATGAATCCTGCAAAGAGACACACTGGTAAATAGCAGAAAACAGCCAAAGATTTCTTTTTAATTCTTTTTTTCCTTTTTTTTTTTTTTTAACATAAGAAATCTGGAATTTACTGAACAAGGATTCATCTGACTAGTTTAAAAAAAACCCCCAGCCTTAGCTATATATAGCTATATAACCTTTAAAATACACAGGCAACATTCTGACCCAAGGGTCCTCAGCCATTCCCTCAAAATTCAGCAAAACCCTCTGCTTACAGTGCAACTGTACCACAAAGGTTTTGTGGTTCAGTATTATCTCAAAAAGAACTGCCCATCAGCACAATCGAGCACCCACAGCTGATGATGTGTTTTTAAAAGCCGTAAGGATCTTTTGAATAAACACTTAAACACAAAAATTAAGCTCAACATTTGTTTTAAGACTGATTTTTTTCTTTTTTCTAAATATCTCGCAACAAAGACTTTTTATGAACTTGAAGTCGCAACATTTGTAAGTGATTCAGGGGTGCAGAGAGCTGGTGCTTCAATTTCTGCACCAATACAGCAATTAATCCATCAGTTTATAGCAATTAATTCATCAGTTGGTACCTCTGGTCTCCTAAAAACCAGCTCAGATACAAGGTGTAGAATGAGGAAGCTCATCTTGGCTTTGTCCATGTTTCAGACTTCTAGATTTGATAGTGATTTCTGTCTTTGTTCCAACTTGCAAATTAAATTGTTAAAAAAAAAACCAAACCCAAAACCCAACCCCGTGGTTTTAAGACTTACAACATCATGGTAGAAGATGCCTCACACTTTAAAGACCACATCTGATAGCAGGAGCTAGAGGTAAGCCATGTTCTCCACCTGCCTACTTGAACCTCGAGCTCAAGACAGATAGCACCTCAAAAACACTCCCCTCTTCCCCCACAAATAAGAGTTTATAAAACAAAGATATTAAAGGAATTCTAACACACCATACTTGGCACTACAGCCTGTGTAGAAGTAAAGCACATCCACCCCAAAAGCAAACTGTTTCAGATGACGGTTGTGAGCAGAATCCAGCTTCCAAACTCTTCCCTTTCCTTTCAATAGGAGGAACCCAATTACCTGAGTGTGGGATACGTTCCCAGTGCAGAACAGACACGGAGCAGGGATAGAAAATTGGGTTTTCCAGTTATTTCACTACCAAATGGATCAAGTATTCCTAAATACTTCTGCTGGCTTGGCTGAATCATTCAGGCTCAGCCCAGAAGAGCTGCTGCAACTCTTGTTTCTGTACCAGGTTAAGCTGCTTCTACATCTTAATGTTGATTTATTCTTTTTTTTTTTTCCAGAACTTAAAATAAAACTCTCTTTCCTCTGCTGTATCACCATCCTGCAGCCTGTAAAGCCCTACAAACACTGCCCACGTGGGAATCACACCTTCCTGAAGTCAGCAGTAATCTACTTGAGCTAACAACAACTATTTCTTCTGACAAAGGTCCACGTTTATAAAAACAGGTAAGAAATTTAGGTCTGGGATGTTGATTCAATTAATTTAAAAAGCACCTTCCAGCACTAAAAACACACAGAAGATAATTCTTCAGAGCAGTCACTGTTTACTGTTCAGCAAACTCCCTACCTCCACCACCTTCATCCAGCCGCGACGCTGCAGTAGCGCTGATTTACCATCCCTGCCCAAACAAGGAGCGATCACGATTTGAGTGACAGCATGGTTCCCATCTGGGCTATGAGCTGACATATGGATTTAACCCTCTTTCTTTCCATATATTATGACATAAATATAATTTCATGTTTATTTGTACCGCTCGGATTTTGCATAAATACAACGCGAGGCTGAAACGACGCCCGAAGCCAGAACAATCTCTAAAAGAAGAGCTGAGAAAGGCATAAACAATTCCACGCTAACAAGTGTCTTTCAGGAATACCTTGCCATGATTTAGCTTGAAAAAAACTGAAGCAGACTTAAAAAGGGAAGCTGGAGTTCCATCAAATATTTACATTATGGCAGCTCTCACGAGTTTAAATCGGGTCACGGATCCATTATGCTGGCACTGGAGAGCTATAGTCAGCACAGATCCTGATTCTAAATTCTGTCTCTCCCTTAGGGACAGGGGGGAAAAAAAATAGAAAAAAAGAAAAAAGTTAAGTTTCTGATAAAGCAGAATAGAAGAGAGGAGGGGGGAAGACACCAGGTAACAAGAATAGGAGAGTAATGTGTAGACCTGCTGAATTAAACACTCTTTGTAGTGGTATCTGGGATGCAGACTGGTTCTCTTTAACCCAGCTGGACGCAGGCATCCCTCTGCCTTCTCTCATTTTCTGATCATCTCACCCATTTCCTGGTACCTTCTACCACAGCCACCTGCAGCTGGTTGGACAAGGCTGTGCTGCAAACTCACCTGTAAGGCTTTACTTAACTCTTCATTCAGACACCTCAGCATTGAAGCTGCATTCGATATCCAGGGAGATGAGATTATGTTTTCCGCTCAGGCAGCTCTTGTTCTTGAGATTTGTCATTCTTCTCTGTCATCTTTGCATTCACCCAGGTAAGGAACAATCCCTTCTTTCACATTGTCCTTGGTCTCCAGCTTTGCAAATGAAACAGTTGCTCTTCAAGAAAGGACACAAACATCCTCTCCTTCGTTTCCCAGGTTGTTGCCACATCTTGTAACTCTTCAAGGTCCTCCCCAGTCTAATTCTCCTACGGCCAGAAACTACACAGGCCAAGAGCAACTCTGTTCATATCTTTCCTTTTCCTGACCTAGAAACAAGCTCAAACTATTATCTCCTTCTTTATTTGAAATGTAAAGTGACCTGCACTGACAAAGCACTAACGTTGCTCCAATAATACCGACTTGCTCTCTATTTATTTTTACAAATACAAAAGACAAAGCAAGTGTAAACTTCCACGTAAAAATGAAATTCCAACTTAAAAAGGAAGCCAGGAGTGAAAAAGAAATCCTAAACTGGCATAAACACTGGGGTAGGTGTATTCCATAGTCTTGAGTGCAGCACACTCAGATAAATATACCGTGTAGAAGTCCAGGTGAGCACTCCATGAAGAGTATCAAGGGACAGGCTCTTGATTTTAGGTTCCCACCATGGTCTGGAGCATGAAGCCAAAGTCACAGCCTGAGCAGTCGCAGTTCTCTGTGCTGGACCAGCTGTCAACACTTAAATTACCATTTTAAAACAATATTCACACTGAACCCTGGAAAAAAACAATGCTTAGGAGGAATCTGAGCAGCAGAGTGGCTGCAGTTCACCTTTTCCATACAGAAGCAGTGAGGTCCAGGATTGCCTCTGAGGGTAAAGCAGGGCTGCATAAAATCTGTACAGAGAAAAAGCCTTTGGGTGGCAACAGAAAAATCCTTCTACATCCACACAGGAGTTACACAACAGAAGGGGACACATCTGTTCCGATAGCAGAAGATGCTGAGACCAATATGCAGATGCTGACCTTCAAAAATCCTGGTATTTCAGTAATAGCCCTGGAGTAATCACTCTTTGGGTTGACAAAAAAAAAAAAATCTTTGAAGAGTAGCACATTTGTAAATTAAAAAAAAATCAGCTCACTGAAAGGCTGTCAATCTTCCTCGGTGCTGCAAACACAGGAGCATCCATAAAGCACCATCAGCTGGATGTATTCCAGGATGAAATCCTCACACACCAACCATGGAAAAGATGGGTAGATGGGATGTTCGGAGATATGGTTTAGTAGTGGACAGGTATGATTTGACTCGATGATCCTGAAGGTTTTTTTCAACCAGGAGATTCTATGATTCTATGGGTCTGAAGATCCAGGACACTCTGACTCACAGTTGGGTCACTCCAAGGATCAGGTCCTGAGGCTGAGTGATAGCTGAACCCACTCTCCAGATGAGCAAAACCACAGTGGAGGAACAGGGAGGAATTTCAGACTTGTGTTGATGTCAACATCTCTCTTGAACAGCTCCAGGCTAAAGGATAGAGCTGGAAGGTACCACCAGAAGTGACGTGTTGTCATGAGCATCATGAACTTTACCAGCAAGTTCTCCTCAAAGAGACAGAGTCCAAATACCTGGATATCTTCAGGAATGCTGAGGACTCTGAAGGTACCTCTTGTTGTCCTGTGGAGCAAGAGGTTGTTCCACATTGACTGTGCCCCTATCACTATGTCCATAGGGCTGGACTGTGATTTAGAAAGGGTGTCCTACCTTGGTAGAACCCCCATAGGATCATGGAATGGTTTGGGTTGGAAGGGACCTTCAAGATCATCCAGTTCCAACCCCCCTGCCATCAGCAGGGACACCTTCCACTAGACCAGGTTGCTAATCTACCATTCAGGTAGAATGGACTCAAAACTTGGGAGATAAGAAGGATCAGAAACCTGGGCTGGAGATTCCCTCCTTGTTCTTCCCACAGCTCCAGCTACACAATGCTTTCTGCACTCCTTGGTGCTTCTCCTCAAAGTCAGGAACCGGTTGCAATCCAACAAGCGGTGCTTCAAAAGGTGGCCCGTTGCTTATCTGAGCTCAAAGTACAGTCAACTTAGCTGGTAGGTTAGGTGAGAGGTCCCCAAAAAAGCCTTTCTTCCCTGCAGCACAGCTCTTCAAAGCGATGTCAATGCTGGTAGCCTTGTGGAAGCACGCAGGGAGGAGGAAAAGCAGCGTGCCAGTAAACACAGCACATCCCAGCCTCCTGGCTTTGTGTCTTCTTGCTCAGCATGGAGTCAGCTGCACAGCCTGACCACATCAGCATGAAAAACAAGAAGACTTCCCACCAGTTCTGGAGAAGATACCAGAGTGGAGCTGGTTTATATCTACTTACTCCTCCTCAAACTCATCACTGCTTGGTTCATAAGGCCAGCTGGACACTTCTTTACCTGGACAACTGTGACAGCAGATTCATTATCTGGATACTACTGTGGTGCCAAACAAAGAGCCAACAAGATAAGTGTTTATAACCCCTCCTGAATTTTCAGTGCAGCAAGACTGACAAGCCTCAAGATTTTTATTTTTAATGAGAGATTAAGGTCAAGTCAGG